ACTTGCTCGAAGAGAGCGAGTGTTTAATTAATCAAAATTAATTAAATAATCTTGTCGATATGGGATTAACAAACCACTTCCGACCAATGATTCTGAAGATGATTAAATTAGTCGATTATAATTTTTTTGGTAGGTATACCTAGAAAAACAAACAGAGACCTTAGGAAAAATAAAAGGTAGTTTTACGGGAGTTAGTTTATTGTAGTCTGAAGTCTAGTACAAGAAGAACCTAGAATATTATTACAATGAAGCTTATATAATAACAATGTATGTGCTAAAATTTGCAATTCTACAATTTAATAACTAAGGAAATGAAAAATACTAATCTAGGTAAAACAAACATCTGAGAATGCTGAGGCAGCATCCTTAAGTCTTTTCTCCTTAAGAACGGGTTTTTAGAATTAACAATTGGTTTCTGAAAAAAAACGTTTATATTTGTATATTAAGTATATTATAATAAACAAACTTAAGATTACATATAAAACTATGGTCCATATATTAATGTTAAAATGAATATTAAACTCGGGGGACCGTTTACTGAAATCTATGAGGTGAGTAATGTCCTTTATTTCACCAAAGTCTATTCCTCGCAAATCTACTGTTTTTTCTTCTTTGATGTTAATTTTCTGGAACTAGTGAATAGTGGGTATTGTCACCTTTGGCAATTTGTAAGGTAAGGGTGTAGTGTTGGTTGTTGCTCGGATAACTTTGTTGTCAATTTCAGTGGCGCATTGTTCTGCGACGTTTAGAAGGCATGTCCTTTGAATGTTATGTTTGTGAACTTGATTTTCACAAGTTTCTGTTATAACCAGATTCTTTTCTACGAAAATAACCAAGAATTGTCAGTCACATGTTGCATTCTAATACTTTTGGTCTTGATCCGCCTTGAAGAACATTCGGTTACATTTCTTTTTAGAAATATAAGTTGTTCTATACACGTCTCTACGGGATAGTTAGCGGGTTTATCATCATCACAAAGGAAGAACTGCTCGTCCATGTCTTCACATTTCTGCACTACGTGTCTGAAGTACGTACCTGTCACTAAAAGGCATGGCTGTTTTGGGAATACTGTAACGGATCGTTAGGGATACTGGGTCGTACATAGGAATTGGGATGACCTTGTAATATATATATTTATATAATATGAATAGATATGAAAGATAATGGAATATGCTGACAATAAAATAATATGTCCTTGTATTCCCTGCAAGTTTAACGTTAAACTTTCCTTTCGTTCCTCATCATACATATGTTTTAAACGCAGTTTATTTAAATTATCTTTTTCGATCTTTTCATTTTTCTCATTTATATTACTTAAACCGTCACTGCACTCATTCACATTGTTTACTAATATATTCTCGTCGCTTTCGTGTGGTTTGACTTTAAACGGCTGACTATGCTTAATAATTACTTCATTACTTCTGCAGTTTTGAATTACTGTTGTTATGTACCCTTTACTGCACTTGACAATAGCTTCCGGCATACAGATACGAACATCTATTTCAAATTCATAACAATTAAAAATTGCTTCGCTTTCTAATAAATTTACCGGTAGTCTTACGCTTATTTCACTTTGCGGCAGTTTTATTATTTGTTTTACAGAGGGATTAAGGATTCGCTGGTCGCCTTCGAAGTGTCGATACACACGTAGAAATGCGTAGATAAAACCTGGCGACAGTCGTCTCCTTGATTCTCTTCTCTCGGCGTTGGCAATGGCTCCGCTGCTCGATGCGCTTCTGCTAAGACGACTCAACCGGCTACGCCACTTAAGGAAAAGTAAAAAGCAGTCTTACAGGAGTTAGTTTATTGTAGTCTGAAGTCTAGTACAAGAAGAACCTGGAGTATTATTACAATGAAGCTTATATAGTAACAATGTACGTGCTAAAAGTTGCAATTCTGCAGTTTAATAACTAAGAAAAAGAAAAGTACTAAGCTGGGTAAAACAAACATCTGAGGATGTTGAGGCCTCCTTAACTAGTGCGTATTTTAGGGTTAATTACTTTTTTAAATTCTATTCCGGAACAATTTTTTTTTCATTTCCTGCTTAGAGTCAATTACCGAGGAAGGAGGACAGGAATATTTTAAAGTAAATTTAATATATAAAATGTGCGAATATTCGGGCACAATCTCACCGGACATTAGGAGATGACGTGGCCGACTACGCTACGAGTTCCTCTAGTAAAAGTATATTGAACACTTAGGTCCGGCGCCCATTGGTGGGACGGCACAACCAAGGAACTTTCGGCATCACTACATGCAAGTACATACTGACAGAAATTATGCCGCGGTATCCTGAGGCATGCCGCAGTATCCTTAGGTATGACGTGGCATCAGTCAGTAGTAGTAGAGCTCCTTGTAAAAGAGTTCGTCCATGGAAGTAAAATAAAAAAAATTGTAAGGGTAGCTTCCCTTACTCTAAGTTGTAGTTTGCTGGAGAGTC